TCCGACTGGCAGCTTACAGACGCTTGCTCGACGCTCATCCAGTCAGTCGCGGCTGATAGTGCGAGTATAACCCCTCATTTACACTGCATACGTGTGCGGCGCATTACGGCTGCGACACGGTTTTATTCCGTCCTTCACACAGTGCCAACTCACACCAGGAGCATTTCAGAAGCGAAGCGACTGGATGCGCGAGACCACGTGATTTGCCTGTCCGGCGTGGTTTTTCTTGATTTTTGTGTGTCTACCTACAGTCTATGGATTTTACCAAGGATATATTGGTGTGCAATACAATTGGGATTCTACACAGGGTGTTTATTATGAAATTGACAGTGTTTTTTTACTTTTATTTTGTATTTACGGTGCGGCTTGGACGCGGCGTCCGTCAAAAATAGACTAGGCGCCTATATTTAGCGAAGCGGCACGGAGAGCCGCTTCTGGGAAGCTTCTGAAACGCGCCGCTTCGCGGCCGGTGTAAACACACGCATTGACTAGAATGGCCGCGATCAGCTCCGGTAGCCGTGTCGCAGCCGTAACGCGCCGCAGACGTGTGCAGTGTAAATGAGGGGTAACGCGTTGCCTGACACTCTCGCTGCATGGAAATTAATTGTTTTCTTATTATGAATATAATGTCACATCTATTCTTGTGTATGATTGATGTTTTGGGGACTGTTATCCCAATATAACCAGTCAAATGGCCGTGATCCGACTGGCAGCTTACAGACGCTTGCTCGACGCTCATAGTGCGAGTATAAAGCGTTGCCTGACACTCTCGCTGCATGGAAATTAATTGTTTTCTTATTATGAATATAATGTCATGCCTTTATTCTTGTGTATGATTGATGTTTTGGGGACTGTTATCCCAATATAACCAGTCAAATGGCCGTGATCCGACTGGCAGCTTACAGATCTTGCTCGACGCTCATCCAGTCAGTCGCGGCTGATAGTGCGAGTATAACGCGTTGCCTGACACTCTCGCTGCAAGGAAATAAATTGTTTTCTTATTATGAATATAATGTCACGCATCTATTCTTCTTTGCAACTGCACACTGTGTGTGTGTTGAATAATAGTTTAAGTGCGACAAGCAATGGCATATAGATTCTTGATTTTTATTTGTAAATATATTTTTTTATTTTTTTTTATTTGTAAATAGTTTTTTTCTTGGGTTTTATTTGTAAATAGTCTTTGTAAATTTGAAAATAGTGATACAGTCTGTGCTAAGTGATTTTACCGTTAAAGTTGGCATTCTTTTATTGAATTATTAAAAAGCTTTCTTTTATCAAATTATTTAAAAGCATCTCTATTTTGTTCTGGTGTCAGAAAATGGTCAAGGCAATGACAAAGATTCATGTTATTGGGATTAATTCAAGTTCGGGACGATTTTAATCCTTGTGAAAAAGTAGCCTATAAAAACGTGAATTAATCCCAATAACATTGTCATTGCCTTGACCATTTTCTGACACCAGAACAAAATAGAGATGCTTTTAAATAATTTGATAAAAGAAAGCTTTTTAATAATTCAATAAAAGAATGCCAACTTTAACGGTAAAATCACTTAGCACAGACTGTATCACTATTTTCAAATTTACAAAGACTATTTACAAATAAAACCCAAGAAAAAAACTATTTACAAATAAAAACAAAGAAAAAAATATATTTACAAATAAAAAACAAGAATCTATATAGGCCATTGCTTGTCGCACTTAAACTATTATTCAACACACAAACAGTGTGCAGTTGCAAAGAAGAATAGATGCGTGAGATTATATTCATAATAAGAAAACAATTTATTTCCTTGCAGCAAGAGTATCAGGCAACGCGTTATACTCGCACTATGAGCCGCGACTGACTGGATGAGCGTCGACCAAGCGTCTGTAAGCTGCCAGTCGGATCACGGCCATTTGACTGGTTATATTGGGATAACAGTCCCCAAAACATCAATCATACACAAGAATAAAGGCATGACATTATATTCATAATAAGAAAACAATTAATTTCCATGCAGCGAGAGTGTCAGGCGACGCGTTATACTCGCACTATCAGCCGCGACTGACTGGATGAGCGTCGAGCAAGCGTCTGTAGCTGCCAGTCGGATCACGGCCATTTGACTGGTTATATTGGGATAACAGTCCCCAAAACAGCAATCATACTAAAGAACATAATCATATCAACAGATTCCTAATAAATGAGCTAGAAAGAGAGGAACACAAAACCTAAAAAATCAATGGTTTCTGAAACTTGCCAAAGGCAGACTGCCAGACAACTAGCCAGCCACTGGCAGGTCACGTGACATGCCAGTCTCAGACTGGCAGCTGCCAGCCAGCCACTGACAGGTCACGTGAACTGCCAGTGGCGGCTCCTGCCAGCCAGCTGAAGATTGAACCCCCACTCGCCATTTGACTGGTTATATTGGGATAACAGTTCACAAAATAGCAATCATACTAAAGAACATTATTCATATCAACAGATTCATAATAAATGAGCTAGAAAGGGAGGAACACAAAACACAAAAACTGTCCAAAATCGATGGTTTCTGAAACTTGCCAAATAGACTACTATAGCCAGCCACTGTCAGCCACTGCACCTGTCAGTGGCTGACTGGCAGCTGCCAGTGTCAGACTGGCAACTGTCAGTGGCAGACTGGCAGCTGCCACTGGCAAACTGGCAGCTGCCAGTGGCAGACTGGCAGCTGCCAGCCAGCCACTGACAGGTCACGTGACCTGCCAGTGGCGGCTCCTGCCAGCCAGTTGAAGATTGAACCCCTACTGTAAATCAGTCGAAATTTCGGTGCAAGCTTTGTAAACACTTTACGATATGGACTCGACAGTAACAACATGTAAGTAACCATGTTAATTCTAATGCTTGATCTGTGACCAGTAATTTCTGATATGTAATGATTCAGTCTTTGTCTGTGTCAGTAAATCAAAACAGTGACTAAACGGTCAACTTCACATTGCTTCTCTTAGTAGGATGAAGCTGTTATTTAAACTGTAATTAAGTTATATATAGAAAGCGATCCAAAAAAAAATGCCCCCTTTGCAATCTCTGGAGCTGTTAATCAAACAGCGCGAGTTTATTAGTGAAGTGAAAGTGACGTGTAGCCAAGTATGGTGTCCCATAATCGGAATTTGTGCTCTGCATTTCACCCATCCAAGTGCGCGCAGCCGCGCACACACACACACCTTGAACACACTGTGACTCTTCATAGACAACAGAGAGAAATGCTCCGGCTACAATGTTCTTCTCCACAAGACGCATGCCGTTGTGTTTATTAACCGCTAGAGTTACGGATATAATTTATATTGCATGATTTATAAACACCCACCAGTTTAAAAACACCCACTTTTGTTCCGAAGTCTCAAAGCATACCCCCTAAAACAGAGCGTTCAAATCAGAGGGCTAAAATCAGGGTAGTAAAATGCCTTTTATTTCTAAATTATGACTTTTTTTCAGTGTAAAAATCATACTAACATTATAAGTGCACCACAGGAAACATTATAAACAATAAATCAATGCAGTTCATGACCCCTTCAATAGAAATTATATTAAAAGTTATTTACACATTCAGTAAAGGTTTACACAGAGGAGGCATCTTTTCCCATCTTAACCCAGTTTTTAATTGTTTTAAACAGCTGTTGCAATTTGGCGTTAACTATTCTGTTCCATTAACATCTTAATCAACCACATTCTAATCATTGTTATTTTACGATATTTAAAGTGGTCTTCTGACAATCAACAAAGTTGAAAGTTCAAGAGATGCTGCCTTCACATCATGCTATCACGTCTATCGTAAATAAATATTAGTTTCCTTACAAAATTGGACATGAACGCTCTCTCAAGTCTCAAAAATGTTAATGCGATGAGCTCGTAATGACGACTTAAGAAGTGGAAAGTAGGACATTTCCGATATAGCACAGCATTACTTTCTGGTCATGTGTTCTGAAGTAAGTTACATTGAGCACTTGTTCGGTCATTCTGTCCTTTCAGGCAGAGTCAATAGGAATCTGACATTAACAAAACATTTGTATAATAAAGTTGAAGTTACTTTATATCTGCTCACCTTGTGTAGAGGAGCAGGTCACCAGTTTAGCAGCTTTTCGATAATGTTTAACCCATAATCAGTGATTTGCAGCACATACCACTAATGCAATGATTCCAACAAACGAAACATTAACCACTCGATAAAGTGTTTCATATTAGTTTATAAAATAAGCATTCTGTATGTCAAAACAGATAAGAAGATGCTAACCTGAACCCCGAGATTTGTCCCACACGACTATATTAACCTTGTTTGGCAGCTCCCTCCGCAGCAGACAGGCACATATACTGCCAGTAAGTCCAGCACCAACTATTAGAACTCGAGACATTTTTTTTTGAAAATGTAAATTAAGCAGCTAACGTTACTTAAGGTAAATTAGCCAAGCGATCTTGCTAGTTTGAAGATCTCACTCTATAAATGGCGGATATGGCATCCTGTCACTTTAAGAATTATGAAAGAATTGTTGGCCAACTAAAACATTTCCTTTGTTTGTTCAATGTTTGACTGATAAGTATGCACATCATATCCAAACTTCAAAATAAAGTTATATGTCAGTTTTGCAGCTATTTGAAGAGTAACGTACGCACTCAAATGTATTTTTTGCATAGTGTAATTTTTAAATTAATTTATTTTCGTAGTCGAAAAAACTTGGCTTAACTGGCCACTGTAAAGCACAATTTATTTAGTCTCATTATCTAAAAACAAATAATGACGACGTCTGTTTGACACATTTAAATAATAATGGAGGCGCATTGAATCAAAGGAGAAAGCAGCTAAAACATGTATGAAGCTTCTTCAGGAAGGGGGACTGATTGATTAAAGGCGTTTAAGAACAGTGATCAGGTCATGATGTCACTGTCAGCTGATGTTATGTTAAAGCATTATCATCGCTATCAGTCAGTGTGGTTAGTATTTAGATACTGACCTGACGCTCCACACGTTTGAGTTCAGTGCGCTGCTATGGAGAGCTCATCCGACGTTGGGTGAGTTTCATTATTTTCGTTATTCAATGCTTAGGACCCTTCAACAAACACGGTTCATTAGATCATTAATCTCGATCAGCTTAATAAGACAAACATGTTTATTCGTGTGCTGCAAAGAATGATGTAGTCTAGAATAGTGCAGGTTAGTAAATTAATTAGCAGTGAACGAAAATACTGTACGACTATGTAATGCACTGGCTGACTTCTGATGCATTTGTAACACATAAAGTTTGGTTATTTCAAAAGCACTGGCTTGGCTTCTTGTCATTCATACCACTCGGATGTGCTAACTGGGCATGCTTTCGCTTTGTGAAAATGCAGAATTGTACATTTAAACGTTGCTTAAATTATAATGCGCGTAATTAAAATGTAAACAAATTATATTTATGTGTAATAGCCTACCTTCCCCTACACTATTTTTGGTGGCAGACTTGTTTGAATAGAAAAAAAGTTAGAATTTTCCAACACATTTTTTGTTGTTGTATTTGTTTACCAGTCAAACTGCTCTTGTATAATAAAGTACAGTGATGTTCAGCAATGTTTGTTTTTACGGTTTATTTCCTCTGAACAAACTAGGATTTAGCTACATTGATTTTTTTTTTATGTATTAATTGCTTATACCTTTCAGTCACACATGTTGAGCAACACTAAACATTGATGGCTGCTGAAGAAACGCATAGCTTATTAACATTGTTTTAGATTAGTCTTGGGAAACCCTGTATGTTAATTCACTGTTTGTGAACGTTCAACAGAAAGAAGATATCATGGCTGGTCTTGTCTCTGGTATTGCTTACACTTGGGCTGGTTCAGTGCAGGCCGCCTTTTCAGGACGAGGCAGGACTGGACCCTGAAGTCAATATGAACATCGTAAGGGACCAATACAACATGTAATAAGACAAGCTGCAATGAGTGTTTTTCATTACTCATCAGTAAATTGTCAATGAGTGCTAAAGATCAAATTCTGGTAAATTGGGTCACTTTTGTCCTTCATCTCAGTGGAGACAAAAATTGAAGTTATTCAACAACATTCTGTTCAGCTTTGTGGACAATACTGTTTACTTTGTGAAATGCAGAGTTATTGAAGTGAAACAAACACTTAAACCTTAAAGTGCCCCTATTATGGTTTTTCGAATATTCCCTTTCATGCAGTGTGTAATATAGCTGTTTGTGAAATGTGAATGTAAATGTTCTGCAAAAGTTGTTATAACTAAATCAGCTCTGAACCGCCTATACGAGGTGTTTGCAATTCGTATCCCACTGTGTGACGGTTCTACGTCACTAGAAAATACATTTGCATAATGACCGCCTATGTTGTACGTGGTCCGACCTCAAACACGTAATTTTACTGACGACTACTTCTCAAATCTTGGAGTTCAATGCGGGATTCGCAAAATGCTCGCTCTTGGAAGATGGGTCGGTACTAGTAGTACCGTTTATTTAGACTAATTTGCTCCTCAGAATCACAACCTGTATGAATTAAGTTATTTTAATTAAGAATTTGTTCTCTCGTTTTAGTAAATCGTGTCCACGTTGATTTAACTAAAACAAGGGAACAAATTAGTACAACATGGCCATGATTTAGTAAATTGAGGAAACTAATTACTAATTGTGAGCACTATTTACTTCTTAAAACAAAGAACAAATTAGTAAAACATGCTGACATATTAGTAAGTCGCGGGAATGAATTGTTAATTCGTGGCCACGAAATACTTTTTTTCTTTCTTGCATTTTATGTGTGGGGCTCCGTAATACAGTGAGACTATGAGGCTCACACTGAAGGAGGAAAAATCACCTCAGTTTTATTCAGAGGCCCAAACTGAGCAAAATTATGCAATTTGGTTTAGATGTTGTTATTAAGCTATATGGCCAAAAAAAAATTCAATTTTGATAGCTTGTAATATAAATCAATGAGAATTTTATAACAGTATAACAGACTTACAGAAAAAAATCTGAGAAATATCAGTTGTCACTCTATCTCCCAATAATATTCCCAATAGTCTTAATCAGATGATTTTTAAATGATTTTTCTAAACAATTATGTATGGATAATGAAGTAAACCTATGCTACATAAAGACTTGTAACTCAGCTGACCACATGAATGTCATGTCATGTTTTGAACTTTGCACTAGATTTGTAATATTATTTGCAGTTCTCTGTTTTGACACGTGCTCTCGAGAGAAGTGGATTCATTAGTTGACCATCTCTATAACAAACTACATTTTGCACTTTGCCCTTCCACATTTCACTGTGGCTCGCCCCATTTGCAAATATGAACATGCATGAAATATCCATATATGAAATATATGCTCATATTATAGAGTAAAAACATGTATAATATTCATAGCTATATGAAACTAATTCGAAATTGGAACAATTCCATATATTGACATATTAATGTATCCCTTATAGCCTAAATATATGTTTATGTATCTATAATGCATATTTTTACATGTATGTCTCATATATGAAATATCCATGCACAAAATATATTTTCATTGTTTATTGGTCTTAACATACAGTAGGCCTACCATATAAAAATTCATCATTTAAATATTTTGTTTCATGTAGCTATAAACTAATTTAACTATGGGTATTTCATATATGGTATAAACTAATATCTTTATATATCCACTCTCGATATAGGGACATGTATGTAATATATTACATTTACGTACAGTAGGCCTACTGTATGGGTCTGGGAGCTGAATGCAGAGCACATCATCATATTATCACAATTGTAAAAGTGTATTGGTTCATAAGTGTTTTTAAGAAAACCTTTTTTTTTCTCAGGGTGTGAAAATGGGAAGAGAAACATTATTCACCAGTTCAGCAATTTTTTTTCATATTTGAGATTAGACCGCTTTATGTAAAATCTTTTCCCACAGACTCTGTAAGGGAATTGTACTCTAAGTGACATTTATGCACTTTCATGTGTGGTTAGATATGAAACAAGACTTCTTGGTTTAAATAATGATATCTCATAATCATTGTTTGATAATTTGCACAGGTCAGAAAACCATTTGCAGAAACGCTGATAAGACAGTAATTTGTTGGTTTTAATACAATAACTGGGTTTTATACTCTGGGTTTCACATACTTGCATTCATAAGGAGACGATTGAGCCTTAAAATTGTTTCGCTTGGGCTACTTAAAGGAATAGTTTAACCTGTAAATGAAAATTCTGTCATTATTTTTCATTCGAACACAATAGGAGAGTTTAAATACTCTTAATCCAGTTTTTTTCAGTTTGTAATGGGACATGTCTGTCAAGATCAATAAAGGACAAAAAGACAATTCATAACTTGTACACCATATGTCTTCTAAAGCCACACAAATAGCCATACAAAAATCCATTCCAAGAAAAACATTGGTGAAGGTGAGTAAAAAAATTGGGTCAACATTTTGGGGTCAACAATGCCTTGAAAGATTCAATGTAACGAATGTAGCGACAGATTTATTTATTTTTTCATCCAAGTGAAACGGAATAAAGAAAAAGTAAAAAATGTAGGCTGGGGACTTGGTTCTATCCATCGGTTGTTGAAAAGGAAAAAACAATTAAGTATAAAGTCAAATACTTAGCTGTTGTAAAGTATTTGAGTAAATATAATTAGTTACTTTTTGGCCACTTTGTAGTTTTACTGAGTATCAAATATATTATAAGATTTACAAATTTCAATTGTTTAGTAAAACTCCATCAAATTGATTTGAATAATCCTTGCATATTATTCATATTATAGATTAAGAATTTGAAATGAGTAAAAAAATACTAGAGTTTAATAAAACATTTTGGATAAATCTTAATGGAACAAGGGAATTGACCATTTAGTTTGTGTTTTTTAATTCATAATAATGAATAATATGTATGGATTATTCAAATCGATTTGATGGAATTTTACTATTCAATTAAAATTTGTAAATCTTAAAAAAAAAAAAAAAAAAGGTGCAGCTCTGACAAATAAAGTTATATTTCCAAATCAAATGATTTTGAGCTCTGTTATATTTGCTCTTGATTTCAAGGAAAATGACATTATTTATAATGCGGCTCTAAAGTTCTCCGAATTTTCAATAGTTGATCACATTTTGTATTTTATCAGACTTACTTTCTTTTGCTTTTTCATTCTGCAGATGAATGATTTTCCAACACACACTATTTCTGCATGAAAAGAGGACAAATACCCCATGTCAGACAGAGAGTGAGAGAAAGAAGCACAACCCCCAGTGCTTACCCTCCCCTTAATGTGTGTTGAACCAGCAGTGGGTTTATCCTTAAGTGGCCTAAAGTAGAATGAGCAGACAGAAGACCCAGGGGGAGTGGGAAACTGCAGAGCCTTTAATTATGCATGGGGAGATGCTGGAACCAACAAGCTCACACAGTTTCTTTGAAGTCTCTTATTGTAATTTATCTCATATCTAGAGGAGGAGGAGGAGGAGTGTGACTCCATACAGCTGAAATAATTGTGCTCTTGAAAAGACAAATGGCTAAACTAAGAATTTAAGCTGAACTGGTGTTTTCTCTTGTCATTACATTTTAAAAATACTGCCACGCTTATGATATTTATTGTAGACCTTGGCAAAGAAGAAATGTAGCTATTCTTAGGTTTATATGTCTTCTTCAAATGGATGACATTATACTGCTTTCATCAGAAAAGAACAATGCTTGTGCTGTTTTGAAGTGTTGTATTGTCTAAGAATGACTCACTGAAGTGTTTGCTATTCTATAACATTTCCTTTATCTTACATGAAGGTGTGTTTCCATTGATTCCTCCATGCTGTCATGCTTCTCATGGACTTTGTCCATGTTCTCCACTGTGTTTGTCTCTTGTAGAGCGAGATCATCACACACTGGGGCTACACAGCGGAAGAATTTGAAGCGGTCACCGAGGATGGGTACATCCTGAGCATCAACCGAATCCCACATGGGCTCAAAAACAAGGATGGACAAGGTAATGGTTTAAGTTGGATAGCCAAAATATTTGAATGAGCCCATTCATGCTTTTGTTTGGCCTGTGTTAGTGTGAATTATTAAAGATGGGAGCTTGCTGTTTTCACTGACATGGCCATCTGAAAGAGGAATCTCTGTAAGATGATATCTGAATTCTCACCACTCACAGATTCACTGTGCTGCCATTATTCAATTTAATTAAAGTTTATATGTACTGTATAGCGCTTTTCACAATGCATATTGTTTCAAAGCAGTTTAACAGCAAATACTTGTTTTGATGTTACCAGTGGTGGACAGTTAAGTAGCCTAAATGTAGGCTAATTCATTACTGTAGGCCTACTTAAGTAGCTTTTTTGCGTATCTGTACTTTACTCACGTATTTAAATTTTGGGAGACTTTTACTTTAACTCCACTACATTTCAAAGTCAAATATCTTACTTTTTACTCAACTACATTTTCAAAATCAGTCGTTCCTTTTTATTTATGAGTGGATAAAAACGTAACTGGTCAAACGAGCCACCAATCACAGTACAGCGCGCGCGCTTTGTTTTGAACTGGCCTTGGCGGTATCTACTAAGCGCGAACCAGAGCCGTTAAAGGAGAACTCCGGCGCAAAATGAACCTTTGGTCTAATTACACATTGTTACCTAGTCAACCGTAATCTGAGATTTGTATTCATGATTATCGAATGTAAATAGTTTTATCTCTAAAAACAGTTTAGCCTATAAAGCTAGTATAACGCTAGTATATTGGGCATCGAGTAATGACAAATAAAAATCGCTTGTTAATACCACTAACAAGGCTCAAAATAGCCCCACACTAACACGGTAGCATAATGAGGGTCCCTACCTTCAAACCGAAGCATTGAGAACTTTGTCAGTGTCCAGACAGTTTAATAAGAAGATATTTAATACATACAGTCAACTTCGCGTATACAGGCAGAAGCCATCTTTGAAAAACAGTCTCTACCAGTCGATCTACGAACGCCGATCCAAGCCTGCTGTTCGCGCTCACCTTATCACAACTTATAGCTCGTTCACATCTCACCAGCGCACTTGGATCGGCGTTCGTAGATCGAGACTCATCAGACCAGGCAACATTTTTCCAGTCTTCAACTGTTCAATTTTGGTGAGCTCTTGCAAATTGTAGCCTCTTTTTCCTATTTGTAGTGGAGATGAGTGGTACCCGGTGGAGTCTTCTGCTGTTGTAGCCCATCCGCCTCAAGGTTGTGCGTGTTGTGGCTTCACAAATGCTTTGCTGCATACCTCGGTTGTAACGAGTGGTTATTTCAGTCACTGTTGCCCTTCTATCAGCTCGAACCAGTCCGGCCATTCTCCTCTGACCTCTGGCATCAACAAGGCATTTCCGCCCACAGAACTGCCGCTCACTGGATGTTTTTTCTTTTTCGGACCATTCTCTGTAAACCCTAGAGATGGTTGTGCGTGAAAATCCCAGTAGATTAGCAGTTTCTGAAATACTCAGACCAGCCCTTCTGGCACCAACAATCATGCCACGTTCAAAGTCACTCAAATCAACTTTCTTCCCCATACTGATGCTCGGTTTGAACTGCAGGAGATTGTCTTGACCATGTCTACATGCCTAAATGCACTGAGTTGCCGCCATGTGATTGGCTGCTTAGAAATTAAGTGTTAACGAGCAGTTGGACAGGTGTACCTAATAAAGTGGCCGGTGAGTGTATATATTCTATGTATGTGTGTGTGTGCGCGCGCGTGTGTGAATATGTGTGTGTGTGTATATATATATATACACTACCGTTCAAAAGTTTGGGGTCAGTGAGAATTTTATTTTTATTTTTTGGAGGAAAGAAATCAATACTTTTATTTATCAAGGAATAATTAATTTGATCGAAAGTGACAGTAAAGACATTTATAATGTTACAAAAGTCTTTTGAACTTCCTATTCATCAAAGAATCCTAAAAAAAAAAAAAAAAAACTGTACAACTGACAGACCAACAACTGTTTCAACATTGATAATAATAATAAATGTTTCTTGAGCATCAAATCCTCATTTTATACTGATTTGTGAAGGATCATTTGACACTGAAGACACTGACACTGGTGATGCTGAAAATTCAGCTTTGATCACAGGAATAAATTACACTTTACTATATATTCACACAGAAAACAGCTGATTTACACTGGAATAATATTTAATACTATAACTGATTTTTGTTGTATTTTTAATCAAATAAGCACAGCCATGGTTAGCAGAAGAGAATTCTTTTAAAAGTATTTAAAATCGTACCGACCCCAAACTTTTGAACGGTAGTGTATATATATATATTTAATGGCGTTGTGCAGGTTTATGTGAATGTATCATAACATTAAGATGTTAATAATTATGACCATAGGCGCTGGAGAAAAATATATACAGTAAATACTGTAAATTTGTTATACCTTATGGGAACAGTCCCCTTCCCTCCAAAATTAAACACAAAAAAATAATTCAATTAATATATATATATATATAGTATATATTTATTTATATATATATACAGTATATATATATATCTCAGACTAATTAATGTCATTTCATTAATAGATCGGTGTGCCAAGAGTGACATTAGTCTTCACTTAGACTGAGTTAAGCAATAGTCTTGTGACAAATTATAATAGGACATTATAGCCATAAATAAATCTAAGTACTTGGATAAGTACATTTGAAGGCAAATACTTTTGTACTTTTACTCAAGTGAATGTTTAAAGGCAGCACTTCTACTTTTACTTGAGTAATATTTTACCTTGAGTATCTTTACTTTTACTCAAGTACATGGTATGTGTACTTCGTCCACCACTGGATGTTACTAGTATTCTGTTATCAGCCAGAGATGAGTGTATCAAAGTAATGTCCATATGGTGTTAATGTAGAAATTACAGAAATTACATCTTGTGCTTGTAATGATTACAATATAAGGTATTATTACAATTAAAGGATAATATCTGAAAGTAAATTCTCGGTCACCTGAAAACTTTGCGAAGCTGGAGCCAAAAATACACGCTAGCAGTCACATGAACACACTGGGTGAGATGTTCACATCTGAAGCTTAACATCTTAACATCCCGTGGTCTTTTATAGTCACGTAGCAATTTAAAGAGGGGAAAGAAGTGGTTTTAGATGAGTCAGTCCCCTATGGAGGAAGACCTCTTGTTACACGCTCATATAACGCAACCCACACATGATTTCTTCACTGGGTTTTTTTATCTCATAAATATCCAGATCTCATGACCTCTCGTGATGCTGCGGGTTTCACAAATTGGTTGCGCTTTACAATAAGGTCTCATTTGTTAACATTAGTTAATGTATTAACTAACATGAACTAACAATGAGCAATACAAATTTGTTACAGTATTACTAATTTGTTTATGTTAGTTCACAGTGCATTAACTAATGCTAACAAATACAACATTTGATTTTAATAATATTAGTAAATGTTGAAATTAACTAAGATTAATGGATGCTGTAGAAGTATTGTTTATTCTTAGTTCACGGTAAGTAGTTAACTAATCTCAACTAATGAAACCTTATTGTAAAGCGTTACCCACAAATTTAACAGTGTTATTTAATTATTCGTGTTTTTAAAGATTTACTTTTACTTTAATTGAATATGCAGATAAGCTGAAAATTGTTGTCATGTTATGGCAAAACAATTATGATAAAATACAATGTAAAAAAAAAATTAAGAAAAATAAAAACATTAAATATTAAAACCTATATTAAAAACATTCTGATATCAGTTCACTCCTTGTGCATACAAAACGTTCACTGGATTAATACAATTAATGACTAAATGAATGTTTGTAAATGTAAACTTATATTTCCAACTATATGTATATAGAGTGCTGTGCACGTTAGTATCCCCCGCCCCCCCCCCCCCCCCAAAAAAAAATTTGTTTTAAGCCAGTTATTTATCTTTTGCTGTGTAGTGTGTCAGTAGGGAATATAAGTTTACATTTCCAAACATTCATTTTGCCATTAATTGTATTAATCCAGTGAAGGTTTTGTATGCACAAGGAGTGAACTGATATCAGAATGTATTGTAATAGGTGTATCACTAGAATAAATCAATGACAGGTATGATGTCATCAGCTCTAAAACAAAGGAAGAAGATGCAGCTCTGTGAAGATACAGCAGGCTGAAATCAGTTCAGTTCGGATGAGTGTAATTGTTGTGTTAATGTTCAATTCACTATTCAATAGTTCTTCTGAAATCAGTATTCAGTTTGATATTTAGCACTCCCCATATTTCATTAATGAGCAGAGAGATCTCAAAAGCTCATGCTCTCACACTAATCTCGCCAGGGACGCCACTGGAGCGGAAAACCAATTCAACAGCCATACATCAGCTTCCACTCTCCCTTGCTGTGCTAACACAATGTCTCATGTTATTCTAAATGAGAATACATTTCCCCGACACAAATCCCTCTGCTGGAGGATTTGAGGGGCCTTTGAGAAACTTTGGCCTTGTGCATCTTTGCTTTTCACTCATTGTATTAGATTAAGGGTGTTGTTGGCTCGTGTTTGACCTTCAGAATAAAATTGGCTTATGCAAATGAATGTGTGGAAATGTGTTCTGTACGTTTATAACCATACTTAATCAGGAAGCCAGGGAATTATGAAGACCAAGACAAACCCTGTGTGTCGTTTTTGTTTTATGGTGATTTTAGGGCTGTGTGTGTTTGTGTGCGCTGGGAGCTGGTAAATGTTAATAATGAATTCTGATCGGTGATAAATAAGTAAAGAGCCATCAAGCTGTTTGTTTCAGTGGATGGCTGGTGCTGAGTGCTGAGTGATGTTGGGTGTTATAAGCACAGAAGCTCTGAGGTGGCACACGCAAGATGCAATTCATTTCATGCTGTCCCAATTCTCCATGTCTCACGGGACACTGGTGGCTCGAACGAAGAGCACCGGGGAATTACTTTTGAGGTTTAATAAAGACAGTCTCACCTGAGAAAGTGCACACTAATTTTGTTCTCCGGATCTATTAATCAATTCAAAAATACATTCAAACTGCAATTCATGCACACAATGACTTCTGTTATGAGAATTGTATTTAAAAAGATTAATATTTGAGGTGTTTAAAGCACTGATTTCCTCGATTTGAACCTCATTTCCCATAAACCCTATTGTGACAGCATGGAACTGCTCTTATTATTCTGCAGTTATGTAAAATGTAAAGTCTCCACACTGTTGCTAAAGTCTTGCTGTGTGAGTTGCAGGCTTTAAGGGGGTAGAAGGAATGACTGGTATGAAGTCAAACAATGCTATCAGCCCAAGGTCTGTTTTTGTGCTACTAAGAGGACCAGCTCACTTCCTGTTTCTGACAGATATTCACGATAAAGGTCCCAAAAAAGAAAGGATGGCATTAGCAGTATAAAGCTAATACGCATACTCCCTCTGCTGGCAAAATGCGTAATCTCACAAAAAAAAAAAAAAAAAAAAAAAAAAATTAAATATATATATATATGTATATGTGTGTGTGCGTGCGTGTGTGTACCTACTTAACAATATATTTTGGGGACAAATTTGTACCCAGAAGCGACCAAAATCTCCAAAAACCTCCCTTTAGGAATGTCCTCGTTTGTAAATTTGGTATAAAAATTTTATATATAAAGGTTTTTGTACAAATGCAGAAAGTTTTGTGTGATGGGTAGGTTTAGGGTAGGGTTAGTGTGAGGGTTATAGAATATACAGTTTGTACAGTATAAAATATGGAATGTCCTCATTTAGATGGCTAAGTAAATGTGTGTGTGTGTGTGTGTGTGTGTGTGTGTGTGTGTGTGTGTGTGTGTGTGTGTGTGTGTGTGTGTGTGTGTGTGTGTGTGTGTGTGTGTGTGTGTGTGATTTTTTTTATATTCACATTCACTTAAAGTTTTGTGACTTATTTTGGACTCTTGATTCATGTTTATGACAGAAGCCAAGCCTGTAGTGTTCCTCCAACATGGCCTTCTCGCTGCTGGAAGTAACTGGTGACAAACCTGCCCAACACCAGCCTGGGTTTCCTCCTAGCCGATGCTGGATTTGATGTGTGGATGGGCAACAGTCGTGGGAACACCTGGTCCAGAAAACATGTCAGCCTTGACCCTAAACAGAAAGAATACTGGATGTTCAGGTACAAGGATAAGATTTTTATGAAAGTGGTGTGTGATATTCAACATGTTTACTCAGTTCACATTTCACCAACAAATACCAACATTTACACTTTTTAAGACATTTAAAATAAATATTTGAAAATTCACTTCCATTGTTGGAATGTTCAGAAGTCAAACTAACCATGTCATTATCATAATATTTCTATATTGAATTGTAATTGGTCATATTTCACACATACACTACTATTCAAAAGTTTGAGGTCGGTAAGATTTTTCTAATGTTTTTGAAAGAAGTCTCATTAATCATGATACTTTTCTTTAGGATTCTTTGATGAATATAAAGTTCAAAAGAACAGATCTTTTTTTTATTTTTTATCTTTTGTAACATTATAAATGTGTGTATTGTCACTTTTTGAACAGTAGTGTATATTTACAAATTAAGAGTTTGATATAAAGGTTGACTTTTTGATTGTATATATATTTAAGCGTTTATTACCTCATTTAAACTCATTATACTTGTGTGAAAAGAATTAAAACCTTGTCTTGCCTCAAATTGTAACATTATTATTTTTCTTGCCTCACAAGCTTTGGTTTTTCCTTCAGGAAATGCAAATCTAATTCTTATCTTGGGAACTCTCAGTTGGATTAATAACGTTCATCCAGAATCCTAAGCTGTTTTCTCTCTCTCTCTCTCTCTCTCTCTCTCTCTCTCTCTCTCTCTCTCTCTCTCTCCTCTCTCTCTCTCTCTCTCTCTCTCTTCTCTCTCTTCTCTCTCCTCTCTCTTCCTCTCTCTCTCTCTCTCTCTCTCTCTCTCTCTCATCTCTCTCTCTCTCTCTCTCTCTCTCTCTCTCTCTCTCTCTCTCTCTCTCTCTCTCTCTCTCTCTCTCTCTTCTCTCTCTCTCTCTCTCTCTCTCTCTCTCTCTGTGTGTGGTGTGTGTGGCAGTCATGATGAAATGGCTAAGAAGGATCTTCCTGCAGTGATAAACTTCATTACAAAGACAACTGGCCAGGAGCAAATCTTTTATGTGGGCCATTCCAGGGAACCACTATAGTATCACCCATCCTTTAAGTATTTCATTATTTTGAAATGTGGAAATGTACCCAGGGTTAGTATTCATCAAATCACTGGTCTACAAAATATGCTCGGAGATGTGCTGTGCATTATGCATCCTCTTGCACTGACAGTAGGCAAATGCTGAATGTGTTATCATGTGGGAACATCTCCCAGGTCACAGCTGCTCACTTTTAGCTATGTATGACATGTGATTCTAAGCCTTATATATTTTATTTATTTAACCTTTAACTGCTGCTGAATAACATCCTGTTCTTCACTCTCTTGCTTCTCAGCATTCATGGCTTCTCTACAATGCCGGAGCTGGCCAGCAAAATCAAGATGTTCTTTGCCCTGGCTCCTGTCGCCACAGTGGGGTTGACTAAAAGCCCCATGACCAAATTGTCTGTTATTCCAGAGTTTCTCATTTGGGTGAGCAGTCTATTTAAAACACTATACTGGCCCTGTCCCAAATGGCACACTTCATTTGCACTTGCGTTCTTTTGGACTTACAATGAGCTGCTGCGTGTCCGTTAAGTCCACAAGACCATAGGATGTCCCATTTGTCATTTTAGACAACTTCTACCCGACAGTCAAAGCGGCATTACATAAAAGTGTGGACTCAGAGGAAGATCACAAGGCTAAGGTTCCTTTTGGGACAGGGCAAAAACCTGTTGCCTTTTAACTGCCATGAAACCTCATAAGTCACTGATTTGGAATCAACTCATAAGGCACATATAGGCATAATGATTATTTTTCAGCTCATATCAACCAAAGTTTTTTCATTTGCAGGATCTTTTTGGAAGAAAAGACTTCATGCCTCAGAACGAATTGATTAAGTTTTTTGCCACTGAATTCTGCAGCAAAAAGCCCTTGAGTGTGCTGTGTGGAAACATCTTCTTTCTCCTCTGTGGTTTTGATGAGAAGAACCTGAACATGGTATAACACTCTTAAGAATTGTTCAGGATTCCAGGATTTTGGAATGTTCCTTCATGAGTTTGTCGGTATCTTTCAGACCAGAACACCTGTGTACACAACACACTGCCCAGCAGGAACCTCAGTCCAGAACATGGTTCATTGGGCTCAGGTAAAAAAAGAAAACTCACAGTGACATGTGTATGTGCCCTGCTAAATGTCCCTTTCCATCTGCAATACATTTTAAAACATCCCCACATTATTTCCTCAAAATGAGTGAAAGCACAAACACCAGAGGTTGTGACAGTTCCTTCATCCGTCTCAAGAGTAAAAAATATCAGTGTGAAGTAATAGAGTACTGAGCAGTGTCACAATAGGGGCTTTTGGGTAAGTCCAATTTGACATTTTTCTGAACCTGCTCGATCACATTGCCCCGCATGTGTTCTCAGATGCAATCAAATAATGTTTTTTTTGCTTTTTATTTCCTCAGTTACATTTACCTTTGATTACAATAAGATGGTAATTATACATACAGTAGTAGCAGTTACTTAAGATAATAAAGTTGCATGCACACCTTTCTCTGTGTGTCTTAGGGCTGCTTCACATTGCCCCATTAAACACCCACAAACAGCAACATGTTAAAAAATGTAAAGTTGTCCATTGGATTTATAACAACTGTCATGTTCACACTGACCCAAAAAACACCAACAGGGTCTAACAAAACCCAACAACCACTGAAATTTGGTGTTGTGAATTAGTGATAATGAAGGCACACTCAAACATAATGTACCTTCTACTTCCTTTGTAGTTTGACCTGATTTTTAATACACATCTTGTGTTTTTTGTACAGGCTGTGAAATCCAGTAAGCTTATGGCATATGATTATGGAAAAGCTGGAAATATGGCACATTATAATCAGGTAATGTTGAAGACTCATCCATTTCTCCCCTTAAAGAGACAGTCCATCCAAAAATGAAAATATTTAATTACCCTCATGTCTGTACGCATTTCTTTCTTCTGTTGAACACAAAAGAAGATTTTGAAGAATGTTAGTAACCAAACAGTTTCCATTAACTTCCAAACTGTTAAGACATTCTTCAAAATATCTTCTTTTATGAACAGAAGACTTGGAACGACACAAGGGTGAGAAAATGACAAATTTTCATTTTTGGGTGGACTATCCCTTTAAGCTGTTTTCCCCAATACATTTAACACACTTATCCGGGGCATTTTGGAAATACTCCAGACTCTTATTAGGACAATTGTGCCTTGTTTTCTCTGTCATTCAGAGGACTAAAGTACTAAGTCAGTAGTCAAATTGACCCATGCCTGAAGTGTAAAGGTCTCTTCTTGCTTCCCCTTCCCAGTCAACCCCTCCTCTGTACAACGTGAGGGACATGATGGTACCTACAGCTTTGTGGTCTGGTGGGCAGGACACTTTGGCAGATCCTCAGGACGTGGCTCTACTGCTCACACAGATACCTAAATTGATGTACCACCGCAATATTGAGCACTGGGAACACCTGGACTTCATCTGGGGCTTGGACGCCCCACAAGAGATGTACAGCAAAATGATTGAAATTATGAGGGAGCATGTGTGAAAAGACATTTGGATTGAGCAGCAGGTTTTATCAGCAATTTGTTTTTACCATGCTTTGAGCTTAAAGGGATAGTTCACCCAAAAATGAAAATTCTTTCTACCTCTGTTTATTCACACTTTAAGCAGATGAACCATTTGTTTGAGGTGCTGGTAACCAAATCTGCAATTAGCAATGTATATTCGGTATTACAAACTGATTTAAGCCTTTGAACCGTCACCTAGAGATTAAGTTTTACACTAATCAGGTGTTGCCTTTTAATGTCTTTTAAAGGACATGCACTTCGTTTAATGTGTTTTTTACTTAGCTTTTACTAACCACTAGTTTACCTTACTGTAGCATTTCATGACCTTTTTTAAGGCCTGTTCACACCAACAACAACTATATTAGCGCCCATGCAGCAGACAATATCGTTCTGTTTATTCTAAGCGCACACTTGTCTGCTGCTTTAAATGGTCCAGCTCGTTATAGCAGGATTGATTTTGATTGGCTGTCAATCAGCTGGATAAAATCATTCTGAAATGGATTCCAGCGAAATCATTTATTTGTACCGTTATAACTGTGACTTTGCTGTTCTTTAATATTGAGAACGATTTTAGAACTATATCTTTATCGTTATAGTTGTCGTCCTTGGTGTGAATGGCCCTTTATGGTCTTGTGTAATGGATTTTGTAAATCATGACATGAAACCCAATAAACATACATTGATGCAGAAGACGTATACAGAAAATAACTTTATTTAGTGGGGTTTTCTTTTTTTAACCAACAACGTGGCACAAACTAAATCCATGATACCTTACAGTGATAAAAACAAACTTTAACACACACTTTAAAACAACCTGAATATACAGTACATTAAATTATCAATATACAATATATAAGAAACTTTTACTCATTACTTAACAAAACAGTAAATCAAATATACTTAAATAGAAATTAGTATGGCAACATCGTTCATCTGAGAAAACCCAATCTAAACTCATCTGGTGAATTGTAAAGGACCGCACTGCTTCTGCACATGAAACAAGTCTCTGTTCTCTTATGTCCTCAATTAATACTAATTTGATTTCATTAACATTGTAACAATTTTGTAGAAATGTAGTCTCTTTGCAATATCTAGAGGAGTTTCACTTTTCTGTGAGGGAGACAGAAACACAATGGCAAATTATTAAGAGTCATTCAACAATACCAGTATATAATCAACACATAATTTTAACCACTTTAGACTAAAGCCAGTGAGATGTGAGCGAGAAGGGGGAGGGGAGAAGTACAATGCTGGCTTCACATTACAGAACAAGTTTCAGATCCTGTCAGTATCAGCAAATTTAATTAGTCAAGAACACTTTAATAGTTCCATCTGGTAACATTTATCACTCAGTTTGGTGTCGAGAATTTGGTAAATGTTTAAGAGAATGGTTTTGCTGCTAAATACAGTTCCAAACCACTATGTCACCTGTCACTATATTATTAATTTACAGTTCCAGCAGATTACAACAAAAAGTTACTGTAATATCAAGACAAAATGATTACTAAATCCTCTAAGACAGTTCATGCTGAAATAACTGCCAAAACTAATTAACTTACTTTGTTCTGTATAGAAACATCTGCATTTTTCTGCAATAACAATGGAACGATCCTTTGACTTTTTCTTTGGCACGCATAATGAAGTCCAGTGTTCCCCTTCTAAAAAGATACACAGATTATACAATGAACATCCTTTGTGGCAGGGTTATGTCTACACAAACGGCCCAATTTCTCAATTAACACTGGCCTGAAAAAGAAAAATGAAAAATTGTTATACTTACATAGTCTACAGCATTAACATCCACCTTAGTGGCCAAAAGAAACTCCATCAATTTCACATTTTTTCTTTGCTTCTCTTCCTTTTGAGAGAGAACAGGTGCAATGCTTTAATATGGTATAATGACACACATTTAGGTCAATCACATTTAAAGTCAGATCGCATATGTGATGGGCAAGAACACCATAAAACTCCACAAAATATGTTCTAATCCCATACATGAATCTCAAGGACATTCTTGATCTCACTCTGCATGCTAAGATTAATTTTCAAGTACAATTTTAGCTACTACAGCAATTCTCTTCTTTTCAGACAATTAGTCTCTTCTAGAAATACTATGACTGAGGAATAACTTACCATTATTAGATAACCAATTAACAAGATGGGCATTAAAATGGCAATCATCAGGTAATCCAGGAAGGAGAATGTTCTCCTTGTAGCATAGTGCAAACAGGTCCTTTCTTTCTAAAGAAGGAACACACATATTTTTAAGCAAAACAAGCAAGCTGACCACACAAACAATCATCAATAAAATGTACCACAGGGCAAGTCTGAGAAAATTATTATAGTGAATCAAGTGCACACGGGACTCCTTCATAACAAACAGCGGTATCATTACGATAGTCAAGGTACAAACAGAACTCTTTTCTTGTCTTCTCACTAATGCAATACCTTATTCCTAATGGACACATTTGCATTGTAGTCTAGAAGGTATTTGACACTCCTGATGTTTCCCCGTCTACAGGCGGCTATGATCGGCGTGTCTCCCGTTCCTTTATCTTGAACATTCACATTTCTGGCATCAGCCGAGATCAGTTCATGCAACTTGTGGACGTCATCATCATAAGCTGCCTGACACATGGGCTGTGGAAAGGAAGCAGCACAAAATATGATTACGAAAATACAAATGATCTCATATCTAGTACATTAATAAATGTAAGATGACTAAAGAATCACATGTGCATGTGGAGTAAGATAGAACCATGACTTGATATCAGATAATGGTGAAGTGCAAAACAGGTCTGGTGACATCCCAATTATGATGAATTCTTAACACATAAACACACCCTTTCCAAACACAAAATGACAGATAAAATAACAAATGGTACGTTTTTATTTACATAAACTCTGAACATAAAGCTCCAAGAGCAGTATTGTATTTTCCTTTTCATGCTTAAGTAAACTACTTTATTTTATGTCTTTAAGGTGTAAAGGAGATGTAGATGTTAATGCAACACTAATGACAACAGAAGTTGGCATTGATTTCAACATGGACATCTCTTAAAAAATTAAGAAAAGATGATAAGTATAATTACATTTTTACTCAGTAGAAAAACATTAACTTACGTTGACAGTGACACAGAATTGAGGTATGAAGAACAAAACTCATTAAGTTGTTAGACATTAAATCGCCTTAAAGGTATTGTAGGTAGAATTTTTTTTAAAAACTTTTTGCCAAATTTGTTTAAACTTTCTATATATATCAATGCATAATTAAAATGTAAGTACTCTGGAAAAGAGAGTATAAAAATCGAGTGTCTGTAGTCCTCTCAGGGCTGTAATAAACACAGCTACTTATCTCCATTCACTTCCACCCCCTCCATTCTGGGCTCCTTCCAAAACCACGCCCCCAAAACACATGAACGTGCGATGCCGACAGCTCACAGCTGGAGGACGCGCTTACTAGCGCCGAGCGGAGTGGAGCAGTGCATGTAGTGACATCATGTCAGACTCACATGTAATAAAATACCTAACTTTATCATTATGAATATAAACAACTAACATGGCTGTTAGTACTCACTATCAAGCTAGCATATCGATACTGTTAAAGTTTAAAATATATTGAGTTTGATTCGTTAACGAGCTAGTAACATAAAGCAAAGCTAAAAACAGGTTGCATTGATACACGTTTTCCCATTACAATCAGTTACACTGTGATGAAGGTGAATTTTGTGTAAGATTCATAACATATACGCCGTGTTTTGCATGTAATTGTGTCTCTTACTAGTCTCTTACCCTCCTCGAGTCAAACGAGTGCGCGCATGTGGGCAGCGCATGTAGCAGCGGGGGTGTTGCCATGGTTGCGAGAGAGTGACAGTCGCCTAAGCCAATCCTTTGTTTCGTCCCGGAAGGAAATAATGAGCTGTGTTTAGTGCAGATTAAACGGTCTAGAGTCACTCGATTTTTATACTCTTTTTATCAGAGTACTTACATTTTAATTATGCATTGATATATATAGAAAGTTTAAACAAATTTGGGAAAAAGTTTTTTAGACCAAAAACGACCTACCCAACCTTTAATTTAGCATAATAAGGACCAGTCAATTATCATAATCATCAGTTAACGTTACATGATGAGCCAAGCCATTTAATTTCTAAAGAGATGAAGATCAAGACATGTTTCAAAGAGCCGGTAAAATAGCCCACGTTATACTCACCTCTGAGTACAAGATCCCCATTTGGTTTCCTCTGTCACTAAAGGGAAACGAACTTGTAAATCCTTAATCAGGACTCTGAGGTTATAAAACTAACAACCCTTTGCTTGCTTGCTTTCTACCTGTGGGAACTGTGTTAAACAGCGCTTCAAGTTCAGATAAGGGTGTGGTCATTTAGCTAACGATGACGCATTGCAATGACGCAATACGTGTCGTTCAGGTATGGAGGAAGTGTAGCGGTGGATTCATTCCGTTCTTGGTGATACATTCATTTCCTCTCAACAACATCCAGAATTGACTGACTGACTGGCCATTATAGTAATTAATACTAAAATGTTTCCTATATTATCGATTGCATTTGTCATGTTGATCAAAATATATTATAGGCCTACTGGTTCCATGTTAAATAGTATACCCCTCAAAACATAGTTCCTTGCATAAGTCATTAGGCTAAATGCAAAATGGTTAAATAGACATGTTTCAAATGCGTCAAGTAGGCTATATTTTCTAAAAAAATAAATTATAAATGTGTCCTGAATTGATGAATTGCAGAGCAGAATTTAGAATTTCACTAATGAAGGGAAATGTAAAGCATTAGATCAACCAATGACCAACCAGTTCACTAAAAGACCTCAGTGCATCTCATAAAGCTTCATTTGGCAAGCATATAAAGAGAGCACAACACAGTTACAAACTCTGACAATGGAAGAACAACAAGGAAAAAAAAACAGGGCCAACATCTGGGAAGAAGAAGAGTAAGAATGTGTGGTAAAAGGGTATACAGAGGCAAAATGGGGTAGAAAAGGTCAAGATTGTTGACATGTTTCTGATTAAATAAGGGTTCTGATGAAATAAGGGAAATAATGTTCTCAATCATGACCTTATGAGGCGGGTCGAAAGGTACAGCTGAATGTTGGGAGAACAACCGTGTGTCCTTAATCATTGAGATGTTTAGAATAGGTATGTAATCAGACAATGTTCATTATACTACTGTATACACTCAACAAATAAATTTTTTGAGTGTAGGCTATACTCTAATGTTATATTAGTATTATAGACTATATAGTAGTCCACTTGCATTTTACATTATACAGTAAATGTGTAATTGAATCCTGTCCAGCCTCTTGCAATCAATAGAGTAATGTGTAAATTTGTACTGTTCAAATTTATATATGTCATACAACTGCAGTCTTTTGCATTTTCAATCGTTTTCATCAAAATTGAAGCCATAGTTTTTATCTGAAAATAATGACAGAGTTCTGTTATACTGACAATATGACTAAGCATTTTGACTATCTTGAACAATGACACAAGGACTTGTCATTCTGATGGCACTGATTTGTTCATTGACAAAAAATTCTTTGGAGAGTTGAACTAAGGATTTTGAGCAACTGAGAAAAACTGTAAAATGTTTACAAAACAAAATCGCAGTTTTAATAGCTCTCCTGTTTTTAGCATAATGCATGCAATAGCCTAGTTTCAAATTTCTTGGCAAACCACAATTTATCAAAGGAATCTGATTATACATTTTAGGATCAAATTGTATTCAGATCCCTTTGCCTTTGGTAAATTTATGAGAAAGTTAACTATATTCAACTATCACAATTTAAAAAAAATCAAAATAACATTTTAATATTAGGCCTACTATGATATATAGCCTAATATTAGCATATATGTTCCCTTAAGGTTGGAGGGCTAAAGACATTTGTCATTATATCAGATAAGAACTTATTTCATTCTGACACATCCCTTTAGAATTCACAGGCTGATGTTATTGTATATTAGCCGATTCTTTATGATTCAACAACAGCATAGATAGATAGATAGATAGATAGATAGGCTAGATAGATAGATAGGCTAGATAGGCTAGATAGATAGATAGATAGATAGATAGATAGATAGATAGATAGATAGATAGATAGATAGATAGATAGATAGATAGATAGATAGATAGATAGATAGATAGATAGATAGATAGATAGATAGATAGATAGATAGATAGATAGATAGAACACCTAAGAAATAATCCCAAAGTAAATCTCAAAGAACCCCGCTGCCCATATAAAAAAACTTTACAAAAAATAAAAAAAGCTCATATAGGCTAATAGGCCAATTGTCATGACTCATGACACGTTTTTTTATGATTTACATAATTGTATTTTTGTTTTACTCAACTGCTGCAGAAACGGGCTTTGATAGAGGTATGTTTATTATTTAAAAGGAGATTTAGCATGCATCTATCAGTAGACCTCCTGCGCAGATGCAATTTGGCGATTTGGAAGAGTTGTGCGTGCCCCATCTGGTGGATAAAAATACAAACAATCCATGTTTTTTTTTTCTCTCTTTTTTTAGCGTAACATTTTGACAAAATCAATACGTAAACCATCCGAGAATAGCGTGTCCCATCATTAGGCTACACTCTCTTTAGAATGTAAATGAATGATCGTGGACTCCATAATCGCTCAATGCTTGATGATAATAAAATTAATAACGTTAATGTCTAATGGTATCTGTCAGCTTGTAAATGTCGTGATATGCATCGATTATACATTCGTCCAGTCATTCCCTAGCTGTCACATTCGTTGCTTCTCAAAGTGAACTAGATATCGTTTTGGGCAAAGGGCATCATAGAAGGATCTCGAGAATCCGGATGATGTCTAGATAGGCGGCTCGTGCTGTTTTGAAACACAGCCATTCACAGCACAGCTGCTTCAGCGGCATTTATCTGACTCACACACACACACACACACACACACACAGAGAGAGAGCTCTGGGCGAACCATCTGACATCGAAGGGTTATTCGCTCAGAAAGACAGCAATCAGCCATTTTAGTCCTGCGCGTATATGCCAAAAAAGAACAAAGCTTTCATGAGGCACAAAGGCAAAAGACCGAGAGTTTTAGACAATAATAAAAACCTGCTCTTTTATTTACGTGAGTTGACTGTTTTCGCGCTGAATTCTAGCATGTGCCACATGTGACGATTATAGGAATGTGGAGCATGGGATCACAACAGCCATTCACCTGCAGGTGAGGATTTTATTGTATTTAGTTATACATTAATTTGTTGGTGCTACTAAATTAGACCTATATGAGTATTACTGTTTTGTGTTTAAATAAAATTGTTGCAATCTTGTCAGGTGGGAAAAATATCACTGACAAAATCAATGTCATTTGTATATTTGATATGCTTGATTATATAATGCTGTTCGATTGTTTTTTCATCTTAACATTATTGATTTTGTCTTGGAGGAGCTCCAGGTGAGCACATTAGATGTTGATCATATAAAAATGCATTTGTGTCATAACTTTTTAGTGATGGAGAAAAGCAGAAGTTAACTTACTTAGTTAAAGACAAGTCGTGATTTAGAGGATATTAGAAAGTAATAAAGTAATAAAATAAAGTTAGTGTAATATAACGTTTACATACATTTCTCACTGTGTAAATGGTGTATCTAATAACAAATAAACAATATAACAGCCTAACTTATTCATATACTGGTCAGGGATGAGTTATTCATGAACTTTGACGTCATACATTTCAGGCATATTATAGCAACTGATAGCTAGACAAACCTAGTTATAGTTATAAATAGTTATGTTTATAATCTAATAGTCAAATATTGTGTGTGTTGATGTGAGACGCAGTCATAGTAATTGTATTTTAATACCTAATGGCCTACAAACATGTTTGCAGATGTAGACATGTGGTTTTAATTTACTTGGCTCTTAAAATATGTTGAAGAACTGCTCACCCCTTCTTGAACATGCTTGTGTTTTAACCGTATAATCTCTGTTTATACTTCCACAGAACACAATAATAATTTAGTATTTTGAAGGACAATTATTTCAGTGCATAGCACGTACCATAATTTTTTTAGACATGTTTTAGACATGTTATTATTCTTAAAATCCTAAATCTCATCTTAAAGGGATAGGTCACCCAAAAATGTAAATTTTGTCATCATTTACTCACCCTCATGTTGTTCCAAACCTGTATTGTCTTCTGTTGAACACAAAAGAAGATATTTAGAAGAAAGTTGGGAACCAGACAGTTGACGGCAGCCATTGACTTCCATAGTATTTTTTTTTCCTTACTATGGAAGTCAATAGCCTCCGTCAACTGTTTGATTGCCAACATTCTTCAAAATATCTTCTTTTGTGTTTTACAGAAGAAAGAAACTCATACAGGTTTGGAACAACCTGAGGATGAGTAAGTAATGACAAAATTGTCATTTTTAGGTGAACAATCCCTTTAAAATCTTTTTGCTTGTATTGTTAAAGACATGAGAATCCAGACAATTGCTGAGTCATTATGAAATACTGAATCATTTGCTTTATTTGATGAGCAAATGTGAAATTGCTCTTTAATAAGTTTACAAAAATTTTGAACATTTATATGATCTAGCTAATCAAATGCAAATTTACATTATACAAGGCCCTGATTAACAGAGATTGCTCAGTGTTAAATCTGTCACATCTCTTGCGCTCTAATTTTAATAGTGGATCTAGTTTAAGTTTCCATGGTAGCATTAATCTGAATATTTTCTTCTGTGGTGGTGATACCTTTTCCATTTGTTAATTTGCAAAAGGATGGCACTGTGACTGCACTCTCAGCTTTCAAAGTGTATCGGAGAGAGAATTTGTCCAATCTACCTATCTTTGTGCTAAGTGAAAAAGCACACCAAGGATTTTTTTTCACAGCTGAAGATATCCATGAGTCACCATATTTTGCTGCATGGTAACAAGCTGTCATAGCAACTGTAGCACAGATTCTGGAACGAATAACCGTGTTATTTGGACTGGGACGCTGAATTGTATTCGATAATCCCCATGGAAATGCACAGGGCACGGTAACCGTGTTAATAGATTAGGAAGAATAAGCTAAGGCATGGAGTTGATGCCAAATCCACTGTTGAGTAACTGAAAACAAAAAGACTCAGGTGGAATCGACCCAGTGGCCTCTTAATAGCACTGCTGTGATGCCAGATATGATGTTTCTTGCTCCTCAGCTTGGAATCATCTTGGGAGATGACAGATGGATGCATAGGGAGGATCGAAGCCTGCAAAGCAACGTCGTAAACTCACCATGGACCAGGGCTTCAGTTTCAGCACACTGGTGAGTGGCGTTGAGGGAGGAGGAGGAGGGTGGTGGGGGACAGCTGATATCACTCGGAGGTGGGTTGCAGGGACAGAATGGCTTCCTCTGACTCACTCCCATTAGTATTCCCATTGCAGCTGTTCCGTCATTCAGATCCCTCCATCCTGGAGTGGGCGAGATGGAAGAACGGATGTAGCCCCCTTCACACTTCGCTTCCCCTCTTCGTGAATGCGTGATCAAAATAGTCTTCTTATTCTGGCCACCCAGAATCCCAAGAGACTTTTAATTTGGCTGTCCTCCAGCATTCGCAGATTTTTGTGTGCGTACTGCATACTGTTCAAAAGTCAAGCAAGCTGTCATGTTCAGCAAGTCTAACAGCTTGGCAGGCCCTTATTGGTGCCCATTGGTGTCCTGCTGCATGTTGATTAGACGCCCACTCTTTCCAGTGACCCTAAAACAGAGGCTCTGTTTAGTCATTAGTATGGGAGCTGGAAGCGAACTCCGCGTGGGCGCTGCCTTGTGTTCCGGTTCGCACTAGCTGGGTGATGAACAGAGCTTATGTTGTGTGTGCCGGAGGCCTGTGATGTCTTTGGGACACAATTCCCTGTGTCGCTGGCGTACTGGGAAAGATGCTGGTTCTAAATCTAAAAAGATGAGCAGGACACAAAATAATCCTAAAAAAAAATTTGAAATTAGAGGGCTAAATTGTCCAAAAAAACATCACTATATGTCTCCATCAGCAATAGTATTTCGTAGCTGATAAAAAAAAAAAAAAAAAAAAAAACGCTTGTCCATTACGTCACCATGGTCTCATGGTTCGCAGAGGGTTTCTCGAGACTTGTGTTATGCCACTGCGCTGTGTTATTATGGTTTTTGTTGTCCTCTCCGTTTGCAGAAGAAGTTAGCGGCTGAGCCGGATCACACTGACGTCACTCTGCCGGCAGTGGAGCGTGTACGGGCCCTCAGTAAAATGGGCTATAACATTGAAATAAATGAAGACATCGCCCCGAGACGCTACTTTCGCTCTGGTGTGGAGATGGAGCGTATGGCAGCTGTTTATCTAGAGGAGGGCAGTCTGGAGAATGCCTTTGTCCTCTACAATAAGTTCATCACGTATGTTTTTATTTAATTCATTTATTTGATTTAATTTCCATCAATTCATTTTCCAAATCGATTGTCCGATGTAGGGTCACAGCCTTTTTGTTTTGTTTTTTGTCTTTTGTTTTGTGTCTTTAATTTAATTTATCCTCATATCTTCTGCCATAATATGCATTGTGTAATTCACGGCCATCAATCCTCAGCTCTATTTTCCTATTTCACTCCTGTGCAGTTTATTTGTTGAGAAACTCCCCAGTCACAGGGACTATCAGCAGTGCAACGTCCCTGAGAAGCAAGTGATAATGAAGGTAAGCCCATGGCATGTTACTCACAGGAACTGATGGAGCCCTGTGGCGCTCAGCCCACTGTAAATCTGATTAGCATCATGCTCAATTACCTTGGCTGTCAGGCTCCCAGCTGCTCACATGGTGGGTTTGCCTTTTGTAGGCACACGTTCTGCTTTCATTTCAACATGTTGACATGGAAATGACTTCAGTCAAAAGGTTGTTCCTTGTCACCTGATGTTTTAAACATTGTTTAAAAGACAAATTTCTGATTAAAGTATTTTTTATTATTTTATGGATGTTTAAATGCATTTAGTCTCTGTCGTTTTGTGCCTGATGGACCTTTTATGTTCATTTATCAGTTCACTAGGATATTTAAAAACTCGACCCCCACGAACAGTTGTGTTGCCTGACGAAGTATTTCCTATTGAAAAAGGACGTTAAAGCTGTGTACACACTGTACGATTTAAAATAGTCAAGTCAAGTCATCTTCATTTATATAGCGCTTTTAACAATGTAGATTGTTCCAAAGCGGCTTTACAGTGATAATAGCAACTTAAAGTAACAGAGATTGTTTTGGCTTTATGACAGCTCTAGAATAAAGTTATTTTCCAGCTTAAGTTAGTTTTAATTGATTCACTTCCGGCTGACCTAATCTATGCAGCCTAACATTGAATTATAGAAGTCTATAGTGTGTTATGTGTATGCAAGGTCAAAGAGATGTGTTTTTAGTCTAGCTTTGAACTGACAGAGTGTGTCTGCTTCCCGGACAATGTTAGGAAGACTGTTCCAAAGTTTTGGTGCTAAATAGGAAAAGGATCTACCGCCAGCAGTCGATTTTGATATTCTAGGTATTATCAACTGGCCGGAATTTTGAGATCGCAATAGACGTGAAGGACTATAATGCGTTAAGAGCTCGCTCAAGTACTGCGGAGCTAATTAGAGCTGTAAGAGCTGTATGAATATGATCCTTGCTGTAAGCCATGTCACACTTTAAGATCTCAGTTGTCATTAAAGGAATAGTTCACTTAAAAATGTAAATCCTGTCAACATTTACTCACCCTCAAGTTGTTTCAAACCTGTATGAGTTTCTTTCTTCTGCTGAACACAAAAGAAGATATTTTGAAGAATGTCAGTAACCAGACAGTTGATGTACCCCATTGACTTCCACTATGGAAGTCAATGGGGTCCATCAACTGTCTGGTTACCGACATTCTTCAAAAAAATTTTTTTTTGTGTTCAGCAGAAGAAAGAAATTCATACAGGTTTGAAACAAATGCAGGGTGAGTAAATGGTGACAGAATTTTCATTTTTAAGTGAACTATTACTTTTAATGTCAGACTGTATGGCAGTCAAGATGCATTAAAAACGGGCGCACACAAGAAAACTCGTCTGGAGTTTTTCATCAATCCATGGCACGTTCTGTGACAGTGAGCTGCATTACGCGTGGGATTGAAATGGTGGCTACAAAGAAATCTCTAACATTAATTTTGGTCATGGCTTGTCTTGAAAAACGAAGACAATTTGACGGTCATCGTAGAAGTCGCACTGCAGGACTGTGAGTCAAATCTTCTGACACTGCCAGAATTTAGGTAAAATTTGATCGAAACTGTCATTAATCGGCTGTCGGTGAACATGTCAAACTATGAACTAACAATCAAAGACTTCAGATTTTAGCCTAGAATCAGAGGAATCTTTTTTTTTTTTTTTTTTTTGCAAAATCTTTCTCAGACGGCCAAATCGTGGCCAAAATCGTACAGTGTGCACCTGGCTTAAGATGGGACATATTTAGGAATTGTTTCAATACCCTGAGGTTTATGTCAGAACCATTAACCATGATTTGCTACTTGCTATTGCTAGTCTGTTGCAAGTGGTATTGCTAAATAGGCTTTTATTGAAGGTTATTGAGGTTTTTATTGAACCAAAATTTTTTGTGCAACATGAGTCATCAATATTTTTGGTTTTGGTTTGGAGAAAAATAGTCTAAATTTAGCTAAATATCTGCAAAAAGTTGTTTTGTCCTCTAGCATATAAATAGCTTCAATTGTAGCTGACAGTGACTAAAAGCCCACAAAACATTTTTATTTCATGGGGTCTTTAACCTAATTATCTAAATGTTTCGGGATGGTTCTTAAATACAAAAAAGATGAGTATTTAGTTTGTGTCTCTATTCCCAGCTTTAGAAAAATCATTATGTCCCTGAAAGCTTTAGCTGGCACATATTGATCTGGTACTCGCTGTCTGTAACACAAACCCTAATGTTTGTTCCATTGTCTGTTCATTATGTTCAGAAATTACAGGAGGTTGCTTTTCCACGAAAGGACCAATTGAAGAGACTTCTCCATGAGAAATACAGCAAAGAACACAGTGAATATCTGAAGAGTCAGGTACATTAGACTGGGCACTTGTATCACTGCTGATTAAATGCCTGTTAATAAAATGTCAGATTCACTTCGTTATCGTGAATATCAGTCATAATGTGTTTGTGAATATTTGTGCAGACTCAAGCCATGGCTGTTGACACGTGTGGTGAACGGCTGCAGAAGATGTCTTTGATGGAGGAGGAACGGCAACGTGTGGCACAGCTCAGGAAGATGCAAATCGAGTCCGAACAGTTTCGCTTCTTCGAGGACCAACTGCGTAGACAGGAGATGGCCAGTCGCAGGGATGAGGCTGTCCCCAAAGTGCCTGAACAAACCGATGGGTCCTGCTTATCCCAGACCCCGAGAAACCATGTACGCCTTGACCCCAATCGTAACAAACCAGCGGCCCCCACCCCCAAACCAGCAGCCACCTTAGCAGCTGTACAGAGTGAGTGCCCTCATTTAGCTCGTATTTGCTTATTCGTTTTTGTGATTTATTACTCTGCTCTCTTTAGTCAGTTGTGGTATTTTTTTTTTTAATGGATTGTCTGTTAAACTGCATATTTGACCACTGCTCTGTTTATGTTCTTATATAATCAAATAATTAATGTTAATTTATTTACACTACTGTTTGTGGTCAGTACGATTTTTTTTATGTTTTTGAAAGAACTCTCACAAGGCTACATTTATTTAATCAAAAATACAGTAAACAGTAATCTGAAATATTATTGCAATTTAAAAAAAATATCTATTTGAATATGATTAATTTATCAGAGTGTCTATTTACACCAAGTGCCTTGTTGGTAGAAGCTATTTACATTAACTCCCTCACCAATAATTTGTCACCTGTAATTTGAACGCCTGTAATTTGTCCACTGCAGTGGCGTAGGGAGTAAGGCGCGACACAGATACTTTTGACGTGAGTTCGAAACCAGAGTTCGAATCTGCCTTTTGCCGAACTCGTTCTGCTCCCTTTTCCCATCACATATCAGATTGGAAAGGCATTTATTTTCAATAAATATGAAGAAAATATGTGAAAACTGGAATTAAGTGCCTAACGGTTATTTAATAATAAAGTGTTTATTGGGTAGGGTTAGGTGTAGGGAGGGCTTTATTGTCCTAATAAGGTGGCATTTATTTAATAAATCTAATCATTTACACTCAATATGTTATTATTGCATACTATTTTATAATGTATTAAAATACTGAGGTGCAAATAGTATCTAACTACTATTTACACTTTGCAAAGTTGCAAAGAAAATACTTCTCTCTATCGCTATTTTCACTTAGTGTAAATAGCATATTACTAAGAAAATAATGCTATTTTTACATAGTGTAAATAGAAGCTGCCTTAATTTATTCTTGTGATGACATAATTTTTTTTTAGAAGCAAAGCCATACGTCACTCTTCCATGTCACGTGATCCTTCAAAACTTGCTCTAATATGCTGATTCGGTGCTTAATATTTTGGGGAAAACTGTGATCTCCAAGACCACAACCTTTTTAAATGTATACATAATATTTAAATGCATAAACAGAAAGTTCAAAAGAACAGCATTTATTTTGAAATTTTGTATAAATATCTTTTTCTGGCACTTTTGATCCGTTGTATGCATCCTTGCTTAATAAAACTATTAAAAATAAGAAAACTTACTGACCCCAACATTTTAAACGGTGTATTCATTCATCAACAAACATAATGTACAATCAGACAGTCATTCATGCAAATAAACCCCTTCAGGATGATACGTATTTTATTTTGGCTGTCTCACTGAACATGATCAAACACTTGTGTTATTAGCAGGACTAGACTGAGTTTGTTCCTGCGTGTTTCTAGGTCAGCGTGTGGAAGGCCTGAGGCGGGTTTTAATCCCACGAGACCTGACTTACAGGTTCCTTTTGCTGGCTGACAGCAACACGGCGAGAGGAATTGAGACATGTGGTGTTCTCTGTGGAAAACTGGTAAGGCCTCAGATGGAGCAAACCTCCTCTCTGGAGGTGTCAGATTCTTTTGTTCCATCAGTGACTAAAGCTGAATTTCCTGAATCATGATGATCCTTCCATGGAAGTGAGCGTGAATAGGATTTGATGAGTGTTAATAGTCAATTGTGAATATATTCTTTATATACAGTCTTTCTCATTGACTGTGAAAATGGGAGCTTAGGTGTTGCACAATCTTTGTAAATACTAGATGCGGATGTGGACTTCCTCATACTTTCACCACAGATGCAATAGTCTCACTATTCATGGGTTTACAGTATTTCAGTTTCTTATTTACCAACCACCTGCAATCCATCTACTGTATATACTACAGTGACTGGCTTTGACCCTAATTTGTCTCAAGTTTATCCTCTTTTTACACTCTTATCACTTGCTTTTCACCTCTCTGTCAATCCAAAAATCTTCTATGTGAACCTGCTGCTCAGCTCCCATAGAGAATGAATTGTTCACCTCATTCAACTTGTGTCAGAGGACACATAGTATAATTGTGGGATGCTGTGTCGTCCTGATATGCAGTCTGTTAATAGACAAACTGAAATCTGTGTTTTGTTGTCCCGCAGACGCACAATGAGTTTGTGCTGACCCATGTGATCGTCCCCAAGCAGTCCGCCGGTCCTGACTACTGTGACATGGAGAACGTGGAAGAGCTGTTCAGTTTCCAGGACCATCATAACCTCCTGACCTTGGGCTGGATCCATGTGAGTGTGTCTCTTTTTCTGGCTCTCACTTGTTGTCATGCAGGTGAAAATCTTGCTGTCAGACAGACCCACACAGAATCTGAGCCTGCAGAAAGTGCCACAAGATTTCCACAGAATTTGAGTAGCCATCGTTCACACGTAATATATTTTGGACGATTTTATTTATTTATTTACTCCAACACTTTTTTTTGTTTTGTTTGTTTGTTTAATCCAATTCTACAGATTTCTCATGAAAATGGGGGGAAAATCTGCAGATTTTGTATGGGCCTGGTCATTTCTAATAAAACATTACAGAGCTATATGCTTTTTAGGCTGTCTTTGGTAGTCTTTCGTAGTACGAAGTTTGCAACTTGACGTTTGCGTCTTTTTTTACGTACGTCACAGTGTGCGCTTCACCAGAGAGTCGGAGAAGGTGAGTCGCTTGGGAGAAGAGAGCGGGCAAATTCGAGCAAAATGGGAAGTGCAGATTTAACTCTCAATGGCTCGAAAATGACTCTTTCGGAGATAGGTGGCAACAGTGACAGCAATGAAGCCAAGTGCATTTTAAGCCGCAAGACGTTTAAAATGGGTACTATGGGAATGAGGGCGAATTACAGATCTCTTTTTTATAACAGACTTTCATTCTGTTTTCTTTTTTAAACTGGTTATTGCCCAGAGGTTTGAGATTTAGCGTGCTCCATGTCAACCTTTCTTGTTCAACTAAGCTATGCCACTCAAAGTAGACGGAGCAACTTTTCTCTATTTACGGATATGGCGAGGCACACACAGGCGGGTGATAGATGTACGCAATTCCTAGAGAAAATCATAAAGCCTGGTCTTAAATATAAACACTTGTAGGATTACCTTAGACAAAAACACGGTTTGGAAGGATTGATGTTTTGACTCATTATTTAAATCGTTAATTTTGAGTACAAAAGTTACATTGTGTACCTTTTAATTTGCGCATTATCGGTAGATCACCCGCAGAACTTTGCACTCCCATCTCTGCTTTTATGTGATTGCAGTCTCACGCTAATTTGCCCAGTTTAGTAAATCTGGCCCATAGTCTCCAAGTCACCTGTTGTTCATTTTGCATGGTGAATTAATATATGGCTGCTTGAGAATAAGGAGAATAATACTAAATGGTGTTAATATGAATATTTGCATGTTTAACTCCCAGACACACCCGACACAGACGGCCTTCCTCTCCAGCGTGGATCTACACACACACAGCTCTTATCAGCTCATGCTGCCTGAGGCCATCGCTATTGTTTGCGCACCTAAACATAATGAGTGAGTATAACACTCACAAAACTCCCACACCCTGCATTGTGTTCACACAACCTCAAGGCTTTTTCCATCCACAGCCTATAAAGCTCTACTGCAAATCAATGCCAATTCATGTGTTTATTAACAATAGATTTTTGATTGTTTGAAAAGTGATACATTTAAACCTCCATGAATCATTTCAGTACTCTTGTCGCTAAAGAACAACATTTATTCAAGACAAATAAATTCAATGAATGTCTCCTGTTAGACTATGATTGAACTACTCCATGCAAATATATTTGATCTTTTGTCTTCTGCAGTAACATTGGATGCAGTAAGATTTTGCTGCATCATGCTGCAATGTAATGAAGAAATGAGATGGATAGATAGATATGCATATGCATACTACAAAAAAAAATATATATATATATACATACATACAGTCGTGCTCAGAATTAATGGCACCCCTGGTAAATATGATCAAAACTGCCTGTAAAAAATAAATCTGCATAGTTTATCCTTTGATCTTTCATTAAAAAAATTGCCAAAAATCTTTCATTAAAAAAATTGCCAAAATTCTAACCTTTCATTGAAGTAAAAGAATTGAAAGTGTAGTGTAGTGTGGTGTGGTGTGGTGTTGGGGAGGGAAATCACATTGTGAAATAAATGTTTTTTACGAGTAAAATATCTCTGAAGTATATTCCCATTAGTATTTACCTTTTTTAGCACACCAGGGTGACTAGGAACATGAAATTGTCCAGCCATGACTTCTTTTTTCACAGGAGTTTAAATATGAGGAAACACGAAAGCCAAATTCCCTTAATCATCCATCACAATGAGTAAAACAAAAGAAGATAGTTCTGATGTCCTTTAAAATATTGTTGAGCTTCACAAAATAGAAAGTGGCTGTAAGAAAATAGCTAAATAATTGAAAATCCTCATTTTGACCTTCAAGGCAATAATTAAGAAGTTCCAATCAACTAAAGATATTATGAATCTGCCTGGAAGAGGACGTGTGTCTATATTGCCTTAATGAAAGGTGAGGATGAAAGTTTGAGTGGCCAATGCCAAAGACTCTTCAAAGATCACAGATGGAGAATTGCAGAGATTACTTGAGTCTTGGGGTCAGAAAGCCTATTAATAAAAAAATCAAACAACCCCCACATGTTGTTTGGGAGGGTTTCCTTGCTCATCCAAAAACAAACTCCAGCAAATTTAGTTGTCAGACATGACTGGAACTTCAAACGGCACAGGGTTCTGTCAAGGCCGTAACCAGGGTTTGAAAATTAGTGAGGTCCGGGGTGTTGTGTAAAGAATTTTGCTATAATAATGGTTTGGCCATTGGACCCACATTTCCCAATGGACATTAAGCTGTGACCCTTTTTTTTAATGGAATTTGGCATATATATATATATATATATATATATATATAAATACAGGGGTTAAATTTGGATTTAATTATGTGTGGGGTAGTCTCTCACTAGGGGGGTCCGAGGGTTTGCCCCCCCGGGATTTTTTTTGTGAAAAATAAACCAAAATGGCACTTTCTGGAGAGTTTTGTGCAAAGAAAAAGTAGGTCTAGCAAGTGCAACGCAATCTCACGACCAATTCGTCCGAATTTGACGAGTGATTAAAAGATGGCTAATTCGTACGAATTCGTACGACCTCATTCGTACGAATTTGTACGATTTGTCTAAACCCACGTGATGGGTAGGTTTAGGGGCGGGGTCAGGGTCATTCGTACGAATTCATACGAATTGGGCAACTCGTCAAATATGTACGTTTTAGCAAAAATCGTACTAATTCGTACGAGTGAGGTCGTACGAACTGTTACGAATTAGCCATCTTTTAATCACTCGTCAAATTCGGACGAAATTCACACAGATCAAACACAAATATGCTGACTGAATAGATTGCTAGTTGAGAAACACTGCTTTAATTAATGTTTTTATGATGGCTTTGTGAAAGGTTAACTAAACAGCATGAGCCGTCTTCCAGCTGGCCAGCAAGTTATTTGGCAAATTTCATTCTGTAGGCTAACATACAGATCTGTTTTATGCTATTGTTTTTGATAGTGTTATACATTTCTTACAGATAATCGATTGTCATTGCGTTTGTCTTACCGAATGTGGTAGCTTTATGCAATTACAGTTTGTCTATAAGCTTCTTTTTTTTTAAATGTATTAATGCCGACAGTTAAATGTTGCCAGATATTGCTACGAAAAACAAGCAAAACAAAATAATAATAATAATCCGAAATAAGTTCAAAGCTTGTGTTTTGGAAATAAGGTTAATATATCACTAAACCTTTCCACATTAATAACTTCCTAAAGTGTCACATTAAATCAGAAAAACAGGTGACTACTGCCACCTTTCTATTAGGTGGATCTGGCAACACGGAGGCTGCACCCGCGTTCACAACGCGCTCTCAAGCCCCGTTCAGTTCACTGCGCCAGCTTCTCGCAGCAACATGAATTGCAAACACTCATATGAGGTGGTTTAAACACTGCTAATTAATCATTCAGAGAGCTTGACATTTTATTTTTGAATGTAAAAAAAATGACCGAGGTCCGGACCTCGGTGACCTCATAGCTGGCTACGGCCATGGGTTCTGTGGTCAGATGAAACAAAAAAAAGAGCTTTTTGGCAGCAAACACGCTAGATGGGTTTGGTGCACACAAGGATAAAAAGTACCCCATCTGTAGAATGTAATATACCGTTGGATCTTTAATGTTGTGGGCATATTTTTCTGCTGGAGGTCCTGGACTTCTTGTTCAGATACATGGCATTTGATCTCGCAAAGATCAAAAGGATAAACGATGCAGATTTATTTTTTATTGCCATTTTTGACCATATTTACCATGGGTGCCATTAATTCTGAGCACGACTATATATATATATATATATATATATATATATATATATATATATATATATATATATATATATATATATATATATATATATATATAATATTATTATTATTAAAAAAAGTTTAAAATAAATTAATATTTAAATATTAATGTACATTTTATACTGTCCAGCCCAAATAATTTGCTGTTTGGATACAAATAGGCAAATGCTTAAGAGTCTATGATTGGATCATGATTGCAGTGATTATTATGTTTCTAGCATGTTACAGTATATGTTTGTTAACAGTTTTTCAAACACTAATTAATGGAGTGTGTACTGTAGCTTTTAATTTCTTAAGCAACCATGTAGGAAATAAAAAGTGATGCACCTCTTGATGGAAATAAATGCTGTGATGTGATATTATTTCCCTTAAGAGGTACATCAACTATCTATCTATCTTCCTGTCTGTCTGTCTCATTTATTTAAATATTAATTTTGATAATATTTTAATAAATATGAATAATTAATTTGCTTATTTTATTGGAGTATACATATTATATTGTACATATACATATACATAAATGCATACATACATACATACATACATACATACATGTGTACCAACGGTATTATTATTATTTATATACAAACACATATCATTGAGATTGTCATTTTTCTGCTTCAGCACGGGAGTGTTCCGACTAACCAGTGCTGGAATGGGAGAAGTGGCCGGATGCAGATTGAAAGGTTTTCACCCCCACTCTAAAGACCCCCCTCTGTTCACTGTAAGAACCATTTATTTCAACTGTGAATATGAAAATCAGCATCTGTACTTTATATGCCTTCTGTTGTGAGTGTTGGCATCAAAAGTGAAACATTAGAGAAGTGAAAAATGGCTTTTTCTATTTGCAGATTTGCAAGCACATTGTGGTGAAAGACTCGAAAACGACAGTTCTGGATCTCAGGTGACAGATGAAGAGGGGAAATACTTCAGTATCAGCAAACCATTGAAAATATCTATTTATATCTTTCTTTACTTGAAGGCTTTTTTGTATTTATTTATTTTACAAAAAGGTACTGTGAAACAGAATCCCTCAGCTGCACAGTTTGCTGTGAGCAGGTTTAGTGAAGCTACTGAGATGTTCCAATGGTGTTTTGTGTTTTTTTACATCATCATGCGCTTTTTGTTTGTGGCCAGGTGTTTTCAAAAATATTGTGGCCAGATTGTACTGTTTAGTATGATCTGACTGCTGTTTTGGTTCTTTGTCCTCAAGGTGGCGTCATTTATCAAGGCATACTATGAGGCTACTACAATGTGAATTGTTTTCAGTCATTTTTAAAAGGAAGTTGTGTGTGCGCACGTGTGTGATTTGCCTTTGATATCCATTGGTATCACTTGCAGTTCCCACTGTAACACAATATACACGGAATAAGTGATATTTATTTTTAAAACTAACTGAATTTTCTAGTACAAAAAGATAATGAATTGCTACGAGAGTCATTTTTAGGCCTTACTACATATTGTATAATTTTTTTGTGATCGAATGGTTAATAATTATTCTTTGTAAGGCAGTAAATCTGTCTTATAATAATGCAACACATACTTCAATTCAGGCTTTCAGTTCAGAGACCATTTCAGGCACACAAAAAAAGAAAAAAGTATTTTCCAACTTCAGCCCAGTGACACAATATGAAGTTGGCCAATGAGCTGACTGTTTTATTTTCCAAGTTCTGTTTTTTTCACAATGTGGATCTGATTACAAGTGATTTTGAAAGCATAAACAAGATTGGGATCTCTTAGCCCACACCAAAGCTCCCATTACAGAATAAGCAAATACCTATAAGGGCCTTGACTGCACTAATCTCAGGGTACCATTCCCTCATTTTAACTGCCTGATTTTTGTCTTCACTACTTTTATGGTTTGAGAATAATTTTTTTATTGTCATCAGCGGATGATGAAATTTCATGTATGATGACAAGTTATGATCTTATCCATGCAGTTCTGAAAGTATATCATGTTTTTCTGGTACAGTGTGGCATTGGATTGTTTCTCCAGTGTGTGGCTGTGTGCCAGTGGCTTTGTGCACAGTACAGTACAAGGAGCCTTATGTGTTTGTACATGCACCATTTCTTTCCGCTCCTCATTTGTTAATAAAATGGGGGGAAAAAAACTCTGCTACGAAATATGACTTTTTTAATCTAAAGGATTTAGACTGAAGTGAAACACGTCACCATCATCATTTTCCCAAGCAAAGTGATACATGCAAGTATGATGAAATGTGGAGCAATCATTTGCCTGGATTCATCACCGGTGAAAGATTGCTAACACATGCTTCAACTTTATATCCTTTGTCTTTTGAATCTAATGTGCATTTGATTTCTGATCTTTTATTTTCCAAATTAAGTCTAGCAGGCCATTTAAGTTTGTAATTTGATTGGGTGTTTAGGAGAAGAACCTTCACGATTATTATATTACTAATGTGTCACAGAGTTAGCTAAATGTAATGTAAATTAACAAATAGGGAGCAAAAATTGGAGTTCATAGATACCAAACATGCTACACATGTGATTTTAATTAACCATGGTATGCAAATCTGAAACATTAATCCAAAAGTGTTTGATTAATACATGGGCCAAACTCTACAGTATAAAAGGAAAATCATGAGATGGGAAAATTGGATACGTTTATTTCTCAAGTGGTTATATATAGGATTAAAAGGGCTTATTTGTCATTTTCAACAAGAATTGAGTCAAACCTCTCTAGAAATTATTTTGCGTTGTAAACCGTCTTTATGTGTGTACAGTAATTATAAATCATTTACAGTGAATGAAAGTGTAGAGAACTATTTACACTTATTAAAATGATTAATTTAACGAATATATAATTTAGATACTGATTTTTATTTGTGCAAACATTAAGCCTGAGCTGTTTTTGTGGTGCAGAAACAAAAGAGGTGTGAAATACAGTTTATTATTGCAGAGCTTTATTCCTTCATGGAGATATGATGTCCATACAGACTGCCTGAAAGCTGACATGCAGTTGTGTTACCTCGTAGCGTTTTAACACAAAAGGGAGAATGAGCCCTGTTCCTCCATGCCCTCTCCTCATCTCTGGAGTCTCGTCATCCCAAAGAATCTCCCAAATCCTTCATATTGGCAGCACATTCAAGCTTTTGAACCCATTGAAAACAACACTAAATCGTCATGACTTAACATAATTAATTCCATACAGATGTGGGCAGTGCAAAGACAAAACAGGGAAGTATGTTCACAGTTTACAGGCTATGAAGCAATAGCAGAATTAGGGGACCAGGAAGGGGTTGAAGGTGGCGTTTAGAAGCACTTGCGATGCACAATGGATGGTCCGGCCTCGTCGTACTCCTGCTTGCTTATCCACATCTGCTGGAAGGTGGAGAGAGAGGCCAGGATGGAGCCGCCAATCCATACTGAATACTTGCGCTCAGGTGGGGCGATGATCTGTGTACATACAGGGTAGAATCTGTCAGTATTGTTGAGATTTTCATAGTTTTAATTCATGTTTATTTTTTATATTTTCTGAAAAAAAAAGTTTTTACATATTTTTCTTTCAGTTAACGTTAATTTTAAAGTAACATTGTGGGGTTTTTTTTTATTTCAGCTTTAGTTTTACAAAAACCCGGGCTAGAAGAGAAACTGATTCATTAGGGGAAAAAAATGATTTTAATCAGATATTCCTAATCAGCCTGAGACCTTGATCTTCATGGTGCTGGGGGCCAAAGCAGTGATCTCCTTCTGCATTCTGTCTGCTATACCAGGGTACATGGTGGTACCACCGGACAGCACGTTGTTAGCGTACAGGTCCTTACGGATGTCAATGTCGCATTTCATGATGCTGTTGTAAGTGGTTTCATGAATGCCAGCCGATTCCATTCCTAACACAAAGCGCAAATCAATGCATTTAAGTATATGTATCAAAGTGCTCTGAATTCATCATTTGAAAAGAGATGGGAAGAAAACCTCACCAATGAAGGATGGCTGGAAGAGCGTCTCAGGGCAGCGGAACCTCTCATTGCCAATGGTGATGACCTGTCCATCGGGAAGCTCATAGCTCTTCTCCAGGGAGGAGGAAGAGGCTGCGGTGGCCATCTCATTCTCAAAGTCCAGCGCGACATAGCACAACTTCTCCTTGATGTCACGGACAATTTCTCTTTCAGCTATAGAAGGCAGATGACAGAGATGCAATCAGTGGAACATTTTTCTTTTTAGCATTATTTAATCATAATTTAAGTAAATGTTTCTTATGCCACTGGAAACTGTTTCTTGATTATATATGTATTTTCCAGTATATATATTCCTGTCATGACAACTCTTGGCGTGTTTGGCATGGTAATGTTTTTTTTCTCCATTCTGTCACCTGATGGGAGATTGGGTTCACTTTTGGCTTGCTTAGTTGGGGACACTTAATATTCAACAATATTATTGATCTGCATTGACACCATTATATGAGAACTGAAATGAGCTGTACGATGACATCAATGTTTTCTACAGAGCAGCTGCGTAGATACTATAAATTAACTAAATGAATAACTTTTTTTACAACAGAAATGAACCATCACTGAACTTACTTAAGCTGGACTATAACACTATATTCTTCTAGATCTGCTGTACAGCCGAAACAAACTTTGTTACATTATTTTCCTGTTATCACTGTGCTACTTTGAAACAAATTATTGTAAAAAGCGTTATATAAATAAATGTGACTTGACTTGACTTGGTAATGGTTATGACAACGTTGATATGTTTGGTATTGAGAGAATAGATCTGCTACACTGCTGCTGCTGTGAGCAAGTAAGACATGCTGCTGCTGTACAATATAGCATACATGAATTACCCGTAGCAGATCTATACAGGTGGAGCTGGGGAAGGGGGAGGGTTTCTGAAAGCGCACTGCAAATCCTACAGAAAATGCTGACCAGTATTTGAAGGTTGAGCAGCAAGCTCATTGGCTACTGATACAGCAGGAACCAATCAGCTGTGCCCTATAGAGAATGCAAGCAGATTGAGTTAAAGACCCATCAGCCTGTGCCATCAAGAGTTTCATGACAGTATATATTATAGTATGATGTTTCATATCATTATACTGGTACTGTATATGTCCAGACCCACCAGTTGTGACGAATGAGTAGCCTCTTTCAGTTAGGATCTTCATGAGGTAGTCAGTGAGATCGCGCCCGGCCAAATCCAAACGCATAATGGCATGTGGAAGAGCGTAGCCCTCGTAAATGGGCACATTATGGGTGACACCATCACCAGAGTCAAGGACAATGCCTGGTCAAGAAAAGGAAAGCATTTGGTAATGCACATTCGCAGCATTTTAAGTCAAATATGTGCTGTGACCTGTTTGACAGGTGAACTGACCTGTTGTACGCCCTGAAGCATAGAGGGACAGCACCGCTTGGATAGCTACATACATGGCTGGAACATTGAAGGTCTCGAACATGATCTGCAAAGTGAGAACCAACAATCAACCAAGTGCTTTCAGATTTACTGAAAGGCTGGTAAAAATAGAGATTTTCTGATTACCCAAATCTTCTTTTTGACAAACCCAACAGATCGATTCTTAAAATCAATCATCAAGATTGATTTTAAGATCAGTCATTCTGTGTATGCTGCATCAATGCATATTTCTATAGAACTGTCATCTCTGGCTGAAGAAATATACAACC